CAAAATGTCTGGATGGCATATAAAGGATGGTCTGGGGCCAGCTAGATATAGTAGGCTAGGTGAGTTCATACTCACTGGGCAATCAGGACGGCTTAGCCCCAAGGCAGAGCCTGGTGAAAAGCCCAATGCATAAAAACAACTGGGGACAACGGGGGTGGGATGGTCACTGGAGGTCCAGTCAGAGGGTGCTTTTCCAAGTGGGAAGAAGGGGCAATGTGGCAAGGCAAATGGCAAGATGACCAGGACAGATGACCTGATTGTCCCAGGCTTCATTTCTAGTCTTGTGCCCTACTTCCCCCTTGTGTAAATCCTTCAATCCATCTAAACTAGTTTATTTACTGATCCTCAAACATCATTCAATGACTTACTTACCACTTTCTCTCTCCCACAGCTTTGCTTCTGCTTCTTCTTCTAGCTGGTGAGGACCAGGATGCTTTCATCCTATAAAAGGTGAGATTTGCTCTGAGTCTTGAAGGAAGCTGAGGAAGTGAAGAGGCAGAGAAGATGAGAAGGGAGAACATTCCAGGCGTGGGGGCAGCCAGTGCAAAGGCATGGACATGAGGGATGGAGCCTCCTGTACTAAGAATAGCAAATTGGCCAATGTAGCTGGATTATAGAGTGTGTTGAGGGGAGTAAAATGTAAGAAGACAGAAAAAGTAGGAAGGAGCTTTAAATACCAACAGAGAACAGTGTATTTGATTCTGTAGGCAATATGGGGCTACTGGAGTTTGAGTAGGAGGGTGATGTGGTCAGACCTACACTTTAGAAAAATCACTTTGTTAGCTAAGGGAAGGATGGAGAAACTTGAGGAAAGGAGATGAATTGGGCTATTGCAATTGTCCAGGTAAGATGTGATGAAGGTATATATATGAGAGTTGTGGCGAAGGTAGAACTACAAGATTTGTCAATGAGTTGGGTGACTGGGAGGATAGCGTGGTACCCTTGTTAGTAATAGGGAGGGTCAGAAGAGGGGAGAGTTTAGAGGGAAACATGTTTTGGACATATTGAGTTTGAAATGTCTAAGGGATATCCAAAATACTCAGAAGGGATATTGAGATACTCAGAGGTTAGTTGGTATATGGAAATGTAGCTCAAGAGGGAATAGGACCAGATCTATAAATCTAGGAATCATCTACAAAGAGATAATTATTGAACCCAAGCAAGCTGATGAAATCCTCACTCATAGATCAAAAAATGAAGAAGGCCCAGGAAAGAGTGTTGATGAATGCCCATGTTAGCGAAAAGGAGATAGTAGGAGGAAAACCAGGAGGGAGCAGTGTCAAGAAAACCTAAAGAAGAAAGACTAATCAGGAGAACAGTATAATCAATAAGTGCTGAATGCTAAAAAGAGGCACGTAAAGATGAAGACGGAAACAAAGACCACTGCATTTGAGATCATTGGTAACTTTAAAGAGAGCAGCTCCATTCCAATGATAAAATTTGAAGTCAGATTGTGAAGGGTTTAGAAGGAAGAGGAGAGGGAGGAGAGAAAGAAAGAGAGAGATGGAGGGAGAGAGAGGAGAAGAGGGAGAGGAGAGAGGGGAGGAGAAAGAGAAAGAGAGAGGGGAAAGAGAAAAAAGAGAGAGGGGGAGAGAAAAAGAGAGGGAGAGGAAGAGAGGGGAAGGAGGAGGAAGAAGAGGAGGGGGAGGAGGAGGGGAGAGAGAGAGAGAGAGGGAGGGAGAGGAAGTTTGAAGAGGAAAGGAGGTAGAAGTATCTAATATAGAGTGCTTTTTAATATGGAGTGTTTTTTTAGTTTAGCTAAAAGGAGATGATAGATACAGTAGATAATTAGATAAACAGATATTGGGGATGATAGGATCAAGTGAGTAGTTTTTGAGGATGGGGGAGACATGGGCATGTTTGAAGGCAGCATGGTAGGACCTAGTAGATCAGTAGGTAGGAAGAGGTTAAAGATAAAAGACAGAAAGAGTGGGGATGAGGCCCATCTGCTGGAGAAATTAAGAAAGGTTTCAATCAAAGCTACACACAAGTGAGGTTGGCTTTGGCAAGAAAAAGGACCACCTCTTTATGGGAGACTGAAGTGAAGGAGGAGAGAGTTAGAGAAGATGTCTGAGTGATATGAAATAAAGGGGAGGAGGGGAGAAGGAGGAGTTCTCATTGAATGGCCTCAATTTTTTTTCAGTGGCATACCAGGCAAAGGCTTCATCTGAGGATGGGTAGACAGGGTCTTGGGGAAGTCTTGAGTAGACATGAGAATCTCTGGGACAATCACTAGGGAGAATGGGATAGAGAATTTGGGAGGAACAGAATGGTTGCCTTTGCTGCAGTGAGTAGATTTATAGCGGACCCAGTCAGCATGGTTTTGTAATTTTCTTCTGCTCTGTTCAATAGTATGGAAGTAGATGGTGGGAGTAATCTAGGGCTGGGTCTTGGTAAGATATAACTGGCTATTTGAAAAAGGGACAAAGGATTCAAGAGTAGGGGAGAGTATAGAATTGAGGTGTCCCACCAAGGGGACAAGATAAAGAAAGGAAGAGAGTATAGATGGTGTAGAAGTGAGAAAGAACTGAGGGGTGAAGGAATTGGAGGTCATGAAGAACAGAGTTAGGGGGTCACAAGGTATAGGGAAGGATGATGGACTGATAGATAAAAGTTTTGTGGTCAGATAAATTAATCTTGGAGTTTGTGAACATGCTAGTGGAATACTTGTGGGTGATGGCAAAATCAAAGGTATTACTATCACTGAGTGTAGCTGAGATGCCGAAGAGGAATATGTCATGGGACCTGAGTAGATTGAGGAATTGGGAAATAGGAGTATTTGAGGGAGTATCAATAGGTAGGTTGAAGTCCACTAATATAAAAGTGAGGAGAGAAAGGATGTAAGAGTGTCTGTAGATGCATTGTGGAAGGAAGGAGAATGTTCTGTTAGTGGATAGATATGGTCACTGGGACCTGAACTGAGGATACATTTGGATGAAGTGTCTTGTCATAGGACAAGAGGTTATTGAGTGATGGTGGTAGAAGAAGAGTCTGAAAGTGTCAATAGGAAACAAAAGAAGGGAACCAAATTCTCCCCCTTACATCAATATTGTTTTTTGGCATCTAATAACCTACAATCTTGAGATGTATTAGAATTGTGTGTGTGTTTATATATATGCACACATATACACATATATAGCGTGTATATATGTGTCTGCATCTATATCTTCAGGTGTCTACCTCTACCTCTATGTCTGTCTTTACCTCCACCTCTATCTTTATCTCCATCTCTTTCTCTATCCCTATCTCTACCTCCATGTCTATCTCTATCTACACCTCCACCTCTATCTCCATTTTTATCTCCATCTCTCTCTCTTCCTCTATCCCTATCTCTACCTCTGTGTCTATCTCTATCTTCACCTCTACCTCTGTCTCCATTTTTATCTCCACCTCCACCTTCACCTCTACCTCTATTTTTATCCTTCCTCTCTCCCAGGCTAGGCCATAAGCTCTAGCCAGATATATCCAGGGCTTTTATCTTGCACTTCTATGGATTTACCAAATCAAATGGCATAGGCCTTTACTTACAGTATACTTTCAATTAATTTTGGTGGAAGGAATGAACATGTCATAGGGTGAAAGTGGAGGTGTGGTAATAATAACAACTTTCTTAACTATTTACAATAACCCTGTGAGCTATGTAGGGAAAGTGCTATTCCCACCAGACTCAGGAAATGGAATCCCAGGAAAATGAAATGAAAAACTTAAGGTTAGTCACAGAGACAAGAGATGATGATGATAACTGAATTTACATAGTTTTAATTTTTATAATGCTTTAAGGTTTGAAAAGTCCAGTAAACTTGTTATTCTTCCATATACTACAGAGGCATATACTGTATTCCAAGGGTTAATAAGCCACCAATTGTAAATTGGCATCACTGTCCCTTTGGAGGTAACCTTTATTCCAGAGCTCCCTGACTCCACAATCTTTAGGCTCTCAGCTAATTAATTTTATAGATGGAAAAATCCGAAGCTTGAAGAGGCTGAGGGGTAATGTCACGTGTTCCTTTGCTGTGCAAAAGTTGTCTCTGTTTTTGAGTTACTGAATATTCAGGTTGGTCCAGCAAAGTCAGCTTCTTACCCTGCCCAATATCTCTTTTACCTACTCTGATCTCCCGGCTCTCTTTCAAACCTACATTTTTTGCTTCCTAGAATACTAGTTGATACAGACAGAGAAGATGCAATCCCTAGAAATACAGTGTGGCTGTAGGAAGAAGACAAATCAAATCTATGTTGCCATCCAGATTTAATCTGGCACTTGAACCCAGGGTCCTGCTTTCCAGTTGAGGAATCTTTTCCCAAGAACTATGTCTCTGAGAACACGGCAGGTGTGTGCATCCTCAATCTTTCTCAGCTCACGTTCTTCTCTCAGAAATATGGCTCCTTATCCACTAGCCTCACCTTTAGCTGTCCTCCAATCCTGGAAGCTAGGAGATCTACTACCTTCTCTTCCCCTCTATCCCCCACTACGAGATCTCTCCCTCAACATATAGCCACGAGATCTGAGGATGGTGTCCCAACCGCTCTCCTCCTTGCCAGATCTTTCTCCTCTCAGCCAAAACCAAGACACAGAAGTCCTGCTCTTTGCTCTGATCACTAGCCTGGCCCCCACCTCGGGCGACCCCACACGCACACACATGCTCCCACCCACCCCACACACGCACGCACACATGCAGATAACAACCCGGACCCCCAGCCTGCAGGCAGCAGCAGTGTCTCAAGGGCTAGCCCCCAGGCGGCTGTTTTTCTCCTCTCCCAGGAGCGTTTTATTTTTTTTTTGGAGGGGGGAGGGGGGATTCCTTTACCTCTTCTGGGTTTGTTCACCTATTAAAACTCCTGGCTTCCCATAAGGCTTCAACCTGACACATATTCTTTCTGAGTAACCTGCCTCCTTTAAAGAGCTGGGGTTGGGATCTGACCCTCCGTAAAATGAGGGGTCCCTGCATGGGGACAGGCCAGGCTCCTGGTCTCTGAGGGTGTCGTGGCTCACAGGAATGGAGATGGGGGTTCATGGTGAGTACTCCCAACCTCTCAGAAGCAGGGGAACAGGCACTGTGGGCTAGTGGCTAGTATGGGCTGGTCAGGTTACAATTCTCTTTTAGGTCCCTTGTTTGGGGAAGGATTTGGTGCTTGGGCTATTGACAGGAAGGTGGCTGGGTTCAAGGACCACGGATTTGCCAAGGACCCCAAGGGGGGTGGGAGCAGAGGAGGCAGGACTCCACAAAGAGGAAAGAGAATCTCCACTGGAGGGCGTGTGCAGTGACCCCCTAGCCTGAGGGAGCAGGACATTTCAGTTCGCGGGGAGAAAGCAGAGGACTGGAAGTGGCCAGCTCCTAGGAAACACAGCAGAGTTGGAGCTGGGATCTAGCTGAAAGGGTATCCCAAAGCAGGCTGGAGAGCAGAATGCTTAGGGTTCACTGGAGTGGGAGGTGTGAATGGGAAGGTATATGGATGCAAGACTGGGAAGTGATCATCTGAGTCTTTGGATGGCAGTGTGCATATACTTGGGGGTTAGGGAGCAATATCATTGGATGTTAAACTGTTCCCTCAAAGCAATTCCTTATTGAAGGAAGCATTAATGTAGTGGAAAGACCAGATCTAGAGTCAGGGGATGAAATCCCAGTTCTGATGTCACTTTAACCTTCTTGCCCTCAGTTTCCTCATCGATAAAATGAAGGGTTAGACTAAATGATCTTGATGGTCCCTTCCAGCTCTAAGATTTTCTCCTTCATCCCTCCTCCCAGGGCCACTTTTTTATCTCACATTCAGCTTGGTTTTTCCTCTCCTCCAGAATTTCTTGTTCTGCTGCAGCTGCTGCTACTTCACCTTGGAGTTCCGGTGTGGGGCTCTCCACAGTCCCCCTTCTGTGATAGCCACATCCTGGAGAGGTACATCCTTGAGGCCAAAGAAGCACAGAATGCTACAACGGTAAGGCCCCACCCCAGGGGAAACACAGTCCAAGCCCTTTCGAATAGTAGTTGCTTAATAAATATTTGTTGAATTGTTGAACCCAAAGTTCACTTCTTAGCCCACCAATCCTGGAAATCCTCCCTATCCTCCACCCAAGGCTAGACAAGACCATTATAACTGGTGGTCAGATTCCTTCCCGAGAAGCAGTTGAATAAAGCAAGGAGAGTGTGTATGGGAATGGGGGTATTTCTGTGGGGGGTGGGGGATGGGGAGGGGGCAGTTGTAGAGTGGTAGAGAGCTACTATATATTCTTATACTCATGTGAGAAAAAAATAGGAATCAGGAGGTGGAGAGCATGGTGGAGACCATTTTGGTGGAGACTGAGTCAGAAAAAGAATCCACCTTAGTGTGGGAATTTACTACAAGTTACTTGGATTCCAAGAGGAAACAGATGAGGAGCTGGGGAAACAGATCATAAGCCAGGCATGGAGGAATTAGAGAGTAGTGATAGGGCACTTCAGTTGTCTGGACATCAACTGGACATCAAAAGTAGAACAGCTAATAATCTATTGACTTGGCTTGATGATAATTCCAGCCTTCAAAAGGTAGAGAGGAATCTGGGAAGGGAAGCAGAGAACTCAGTACAATGAAACATGTGAAGTTTAGTTTGACTAAGGACTTAGTTTGACAAACAGGACCTGGGTTTGACTCTTAGCTCTGATCTGTGTGACCCATGTGACTGTGTGCCTCGTCATTTAATCTGCCTGGGATCTCAGTTTTCTCCTTGGTAACATGAAGAAGTTGGACTAGATTACCTCTAAGGTTCCTTCCAGATCTCTGATCCTATGATGAGACAGGGACTCATTGTTAGACTAGATAAAAATCTGAAAATCCTGACCTGTTGCATCGGGGTGGGGTTGGGGTATTTTAGGTAGCCTGCATGGAAGATTGCAGCCTGGGTGAGAACATCACAGTCCCTGATACCAGGGTGAACTTCCATACCTGGAAGAAGATGGAGGTAAGACTGTGCTTTCTTTCTTCCATGTTGACTTGGGGAAATGATCTCAGAGTTTCATTTGTTCGTTGTTTTTTTTTTTTAAGAACGTAGCCATAGGGTAAAAGAAACAATGGTAGAGACATGAAAGGGTTTATTCATTCACTGTTGGGTAGTGTAGGGATTGGGCTGGAGTAGGCCAGGAGGAATGATAATAAGGAATTGTAATTACAGTAGTGAATGAGTCAGTGAGGAATTTTCAGGACTTTGATTGGATCTGAGAGGTGAGGGAGAATGAAGAGTCAAGGATAACTCCAAGCTTACAAATATGGGAAGGGTGAAAGATAATATTACAGAAAGAAATCCTGAAGTCAAAAAGAGAAGGTTTGGAGAAAGAGAAGTTCCATTTTGGATATGTTGAGTTTAAAAGACTGCTGGGACATTGAGGTAGAGATCTCCTATAGGGAGTCGAGTATGTTCATCTGGAGCTGGAGATAACGATTGGGAAGTCATCTGCATGGAGGTGGTAGTTGAACCTGTGGTACTTAATGAAGCTACCAAGGGAAAGAGAAGAAGGGATGGGGAAGGTAAGGAAGGGGAAGGGAGAGACCTGGGGACAAATCCTTGGGAAAATATCCACATTAAGGAGTCAGGAAGAGGATGAGTATCTCCTTCCACTGAAATGAAGAGAGAGAGAGAGAGAGAGAGAGAGAGAGAGAGAGAGAGAGAGAGAGAGAGAGAGAGAGAGAGAAAGAGAGAGAGAAAGCTAGGAAGAGAACCAAGAGTGTGGTGTCTCTGAAGCCAAGTAAGGAAATATTATCTGGTAGAAGTCAACCGGGTCTAAAACTAAGAAGTCAAACAGAATGAGGACTCAACAAAGACCTTTGGATTTGGTGATTAGTAAGTCATTGGTGACCTTTGAAAGGGCAGTTTAGAAGAGTAGTGGGAGCAGAAAGGAGATTGCAGGGGATTGAAGAGACAGTAGGTATTAAGGAAGTAGAGGAACTCTATGTAAACAACTTTTTCAAGAAGTTTAGCCATGAAGGGAAGGAGCGATATGGAATGATAACTGAGAGTCTTAAATGGTTGCTGATATAAAGGAGCTGGTGGAGAGGATGAGATTCAAGATACATGAAAGAGAAGAGCTAAAGATGCTGACAAGGAAAGAAGAGAAAAAGAGAGGCCAAGAAAAAAAAATGCTGGCCATCTGAGACAGAGATAAGGCAAGGGCAGAGAGGAGGCCAAAGCTATTGATAGAGGAGGAGATGAAAATAACCTTAGGTTAGGCTGACTCTCTTATTTCTCTTTAGGTGGGGCAGAAGGCAGGGGAGGTCTGGCAGGGGCTGACCCTGCTCTCCGAAGCTGTCCTAAAAGGGCAGGCCTTGCTGGCCAACTCCTCTCAGACACCAGTAGCGCTAAAGCTCTTTGTGGACAAAGCTGTCAGCAGCTTGAGAAGTCTCAGATTCCTGCTTCGAGGACTGGGAGCACAGGTAAGAGTAATTTGGTGGAACCACCAGGAATCAGGAGAATTGGGAACAAACTTCATTGGAACCATGAAATGTGGAAAACTCACCTCTGGACCTTTATTTCTTCCCCTTCATGAAATGGGGAGAAAATCTCTGCTCCCAGTTGAGCTCTTAGGAGTTGACCAAAGCTCCAGTTCTGCCCCCAGGAAGTTTTTCATTTTTAGGATGCAGGTAGTTCACTAAACCTTTTCTCTTTCATTGCCAGGAAGAAGCTATCTATGTTCCAGATGCCCCAACAGCAGCTCCATTTCGTACCTTCACGGTTGGGACCATGGACAAACTTTTTCGAATCTACTCCAATTTCCTACGGGGAAAGCTCAAGTTGTTTTTGAGGGAAGCCTGCCAAAAAGAGGAGAGGTGATTAGTTGCCCCCCCCACCTCCACCCTAGGCACATCCACCACCCCACCCTGCTCAATGATACTGCTTGGGTCTGCCTGTGCCATCCCTGCTACCAGCACTCTCCAGGGGAATGAAGCAATCAGAGCCAGCTGGCTTATGGACACACCAGTGCAAAGGAAGATGCCTAAAGAGCAGGAGAAACTGATACTCAACTTTGAGTCCCAGGGCTATCATAATGCCAAGACAGAGAACTATGAACTGGATGAATCCAGCTTTAAATTGAGCCATGAGAGGAAAATGCCTTAATTCACCTTGAAAACACAATGATGCCACCTAGAAGTTTGGGGGGGAGAATTGCTCCTATCTGGAGCCACCAACCAGGGAAGAAACATTCAGGAGCTTAGGTGACAAATAACCTGTTCCCTAGGCCTGGCTGATTCACCTGCTAGCCAAAGACTAATAGTTTGATGTAGGGCTGGAAGAACAGCAGAAATAGAATGGGGTCCCGGATAGGGATATCCCTGATCTCATTGGTGTCCAGTTTTTTTTTTTGTCTTTTTTTTTTTAATATTTAAGAACCTAACTGCCAAGAATTGAAAACACCAAATGTGTCTTGGCTTTTCTGTTTTCCCCTTTGATCCTGACTTTTTTTTTTTTTTATAAACCGTACTCCCTCCTCCATTCTCTGGGTCCTGTCCTGCCGTCCTGGGAAGCATGGAGGTTACAAGGGTCAGGCCCTACATGCTGCCTCATCCGGCCTGCCTGACTTCTTGACCCTACTGGGCCTGAAGCCATAGACTCAACCACTGTTAGTCAATAACTTGTCTCTACTCAAGGTTGTCCCCCAGGCAGCTGCTGCCAATTTCTGACAGGAGAAACCTTTAAAGGCAATGAGGGGGTGGGAAGAGTACTAACTGCACTGGGGGTGTGTGGGTGGGGGGGAGGCAGCTCCCAATTCAAAGCAACTAGACACTTCCCTCACTGCTTCTCCCTGGACCCCAGATTTCGGCCACCTCCAGTCTCTGCCACCATTCAAGGACCCAAGCATCCCAGTATCAAGTTACACTACCTACCTCAGTTTCCTAATGTCTAATTTAATCCAGAATCTGATTTCCCAGCTGAAATATCTCTCTTGCTCCTTAATGCAGTGGGAAAGCCGGCTGGGAGCTGGTAAGAATACCAAGGCCAGTCTTTCCGAGCAGGGCTTTCCGTAAAAGCAAACGGAACCCAGCAGCTCAGGATACTGGTTGGTTGGGTGGAAGGGGCATGGAGACTTGCTTATATCAGAGCTGAAGGGGGAGTAACTTCTGGCAATTTGCTATGGCATAATCTTTGTGCTATGCAAGCAAAAAAAAGATGAGCACTTGCATTGTTCTGGGTCTTCCCGGTGGCTATCTTGAAATAGCCATACTTTCACTCTCGAGAGTCACTTCATTATCATATTCATAAGATATTAATGGCGGCTTTGACATCCCATAAGTTACTATTGGGCTTTGAGGAGTCTCATTATGCTACCTTGGTCTTGGGAAAGTCCCTTGACCACAAGGTTGCTGGTGATAAGGTGGGCTACGGAGTGGTGAGGTTGTCTATTCAGTGTATGTGGGAAGTAGTTGTCTGCTCAGCATATAGAGCTCAGAATACAGGAGAAAGGGTTGCCTAATCAGGATATAGGGAAAGGATGGGGTCTCATTGCTCTGGGGGAAAAATAGGATTTTGCCATTTCTACTCCACCTAGCATCTAATTTTCCCCTCAGGCATGATGGAGAAGAAGCTTTGGAATACAACCCCTCAGTATCCCAATTCCTTCCATATTCATTCCTCCACTATCCCCCCTCAAATTCCCTGTATTCTTTTTTAAAGCTGTATTGATGCCTTTTGCTGTTATATAATATATATAAAAGAATGCTTTTTAATTTTAAACTTCATTGATATTTTTTCTTTTTATATCACCTTCATTTCCAAATAGCTCTCTACCCCTTTGCTTCCTCACCAAGGCATCACTTGTGACAAGCAGTAAAGAGAAAAAAAAGCAATTCAGTAGAACTAATAAGCACATCAATATCTGACAATAAATACACTATTCCACACCTGTAGTCCCCAGTCTCTGCAAAGAAGGGAGGGGAGTGTATTTTCTTGTTTCTTCTCTGAAGGCTAAGTTTGATTCTTATAAACTTTTTTGTTCTATCCATTTATACTGTTGCAGTGCTTATATCACATTTATTTCTGAATATTTCCTTCCCTGCTCCCCTACCCAGTGAATCTTCTCTTGTAACAAAGATAAAGGAAAAAAAAGGTGAGAAAAACCAACTAACACAAGAACTGTGCCTGACAGTAAATGCAACATCCCCCATCCTTAGTCCTTCAGCAGAAAGAAGAGAGATAAATGTCTTTATTCGTGGTTCTTACTTCATTCAACCTTGGGTAATCTTTCTTGAAACCCTACCCAGAAGTGATATTCTCAGCTACCCAGTCAGATAATATTACCAAATTGCATTCAAGTGTTGGGACTTGGGGACATATACTGCCCTACTCGTCAACTGTACCTGTTTTCTTTTCAAAAATGAAAGAGATCAGCCCTACAAATACCTAAGTGGAAAAGATGTTTAGAAATCCACCAAGAAGGAGGTTAAGATGAAATGGGAAATGGGATGCAGGAGATGAAACAATGGAGTAAAAGGATACTGTCTTGAATTCCCATGATGGTTACCCAAGTCCCTTGTGCAATGCTGTCCTCTGCTGGCCCAGTAGGGAAATGTTATAGGAATCAATCAATTAGTCAAATAAGCTTTTATTATATGTGGCAGGCACTATACTAAGCACTAGGAGTACAGAGAAAAATCAAAAACAATCCCTGCCCTCAAAGAACTTACAGTTGAGTGAAGGAGATAACATGCTCATCAACAGATATAAACATATAGTGTACAAAGCAATTATTACTACTAATAATAATGCAAAGTAACCTTTGATGGGAAGGCTTCCTGCACTACTAAGATAGAATTTGAGCTGAATCTTGAAGATAGGAATCTTAAGAGATGGAGGCAAAGAGGGAAGATACAGGAACCACACTGAAACCTGGTATTCCATGCCTGGTCACCTAAATCCTTCTTCTCCTTCAGGACTCAGGGGCCTTCCAGCCAATTGTTTCCTCACCTAGTCTTTATTCCACTCCTAAGAACCCAGATACCCACCCTTCCAGTTCCTTATACTTCATCTCTCAGGATTTAAGTACTCTGACTCCAGGTTTTGGCTTTTTTTTCCCCATCTAATAGAATCAGCAGGATAATACAAATGACATATGTTTGGTGTTATCCTTGCCTCACGTAGCTAACAACCTAGTTGGCATGCAAAAACTAATATGAGCAAATTAATTAACAATAAAAGATAGTATATGATTGAATTGTAGTCTACTATCACTGCCCTGGACTCCCTTCTTTTAACCTCCTATGAAGGGTAGCTGGCTGAGCAATACTTTTTACCTCATCCTTTCTGGGAATAGGAGGAGCCAAATCCTCCCAAACTATGTTTGTCTCCACCTAGGGATTTGCCTTTTGGTGGACCTCTTCTCTAGCTACAGATCTCTTTTTTCATTTTCTTCTTCTATCTGGAAATTAGCCCCCAGGTGTCCATGTTCAATATTCTTGGTGAAGTGAGGAACAAAGACTTAGTTATGTTCAGAAGCAATGGCCTGAATCCACTGAAATTCCTTTCTCTACTAATTTGGAGAGGGGTTTTTTTGTTGTTGTTGTTAATGCAGATTCTTTTTTTTTTTGGTGAGACAATGGGGTTAAGTGACTTGCCCAGGGTCACACAGCTAGGAAGTGTCAAGTGTCTGAGGCCGGATTTGAACTCAGGTCCTCCCAACTCCAGGGCTGGTGCTCTATCCACTGCACCACCTAGCTGTCCAATGCAGATTCTTAATATGGGCTATTAATAAAATTATAACAGCTCATCAACCCTTTCCTCCCATTCCCCCTCCCCCCCCCAAGCCATGGGCAAGAGACCTACCCCCAAATCCTTGGTCATCATAAATGCCTCCTAGCCCAAGTAAGACTGGAGGAAAACAGAGGGGAGGTCTTCCATGAGAAAGCCCCAGGGTGGGGAAATTGGAAGCCTTGGCAGTTGAAGTAGAATAGTGCTTCATTAAGGTAGAAGAGGTAGGACTGCCCAGGCCCAAAGGCTCTGAGGTATCACCTCACACCTACCAGATTTGCTAATATGACAGAAAAAGAAAATGATAAATGTTGGAGGGATGTGGAAAATTGGGTCCACTGTTGGTGGAGTTGTGTACTGATCCAACCATTCTGGAAAACAATTTGGAACTATGCCCAAAGGGCTATAAAACTGTGTATGTACCCTTTAATCCAGCAATATTCCCTACTAGGTCTGTATCTCAAAGATTTAAAAAAAAAAAAAAGAAAGGGAAGGAAGGACCTATTTGTACAAGTGTATTTATAGTATCTTTTTTTGTGGTGGCAAAGAATTGGAGATTGAGAGGATGCCCATCAGTTGAGGAATGACTGAACAAGTTGTGGTTTATAATTGTAATGGAAATGCTATAGGAAATGATGAGCAAACAGATTTCAGAAAAACCTAGAGACTTGTGTGAACTGATGCAGAGTAAAGTGAGCAGAACCAGGAGAACGTTATACACAGTAATAGCAATATTGCATGAGGAACAACTGTGAATGACTTAGCTCTTCTCAGCATACAATGATCCAAGACAATCCCACAGGATTTATGATGAAAAATGCTAGCCACCTCCAGAGAAAAAACTGAGTCCAACATTATTCACATACAGAAGTCTGAATGCAAATAGAAGCATACTATTTTCTCTCTCTCTCTTTTTTTTCTTGTGGTTTTTCCCTTTTATTGAGACTCTTCTTTTATAACATGACTAATGTGGAAATATGTTTAATATGATTATACATGTATAGCTTATATCAGATTGCTTGCTGTCTTGGGGAAAAGGGGGGGAAGAAAAAAATTTGGAATTCAAAACCTTAAAAAAAGGGAATGTTGAAAACTAAAAATAAAAAAAAATTTTCCCCTTTTTGCCTATACCTATTCAACTCAATTTCTTTTTCTTATCTTATTGCTATGAGTAGCATCTCTAGCAATATATCAAATAATAGTGGTGATAATGGACCTCTTTATTTTACCTTTGACATTACTAAGAAGACCTTTTATTTATTTCTATTACTTATTGTGCTTCCTCTTGGTTTTAGACAGATACTATTTGCCACACTGATTTCTTAATTTCGCATTGTTTCCTTTGCTTGTTAGGGTTTGTTTGTTTAACACAAATGGGTGTTGAATTTTGTTAAAAGGTTTTCTGTATCTAGTGATACAATCATGTCATTTTTGTTATGTTACCATCCTATGTCATTGGTATACATCCAACTTGGTCATTGTGTCATACTTTTTTGATATATAGGTGGAGGCACTTTGCTATTATTTTACTTTAAATATTTGTATTAACATT